AGAGACAGTGAATAAGTTGAACCTCGATTAAGAGTTAACCGTGAGTTGTGGAACTGGGCTACAATCTTAAATGTTTTGAGAAGTCTTGAATGTCTTGAAAAGTCTTGAATGTCTTGAAAAGTCTTGAATGTCTTGAAAAGTCTTGAATGTTTTATTTTTGTTTTTAAGTTAAATGTGTTAATAAATTTAAACAATTTAAAAATTGTTTCTTTCGTTGATTTTTTTAAATTAAAGTGAAAATACATTTAACGTAAATAAAAATTTACTTGATTTCAAGAAATGAGGTTTAAACCAAAGAAAAATTTATTTAATTTCAAGAAATGACGTCCAAATCAAAAAAACTTTTCTTTAATCGTATAACAACACTCAAAGGACTCCGCACAAAACATATGGAAAAGTGCTTTCGGTCGAATTGACTGAATTTTTGATATGTTGTAATTCTCGTAATTCTGAACAAATGTCTCAATAGGCACAACACTTGATCCTATGGCTAGTTTCAGAGATATAGAGGCGGTTATCCTCTGCCGAAATAGCTATGTGCACTACATACGAGTCATTATCGATTCCTTAGGGTTTTGTTTCTAATATATATGAATTAAATAGTTACAATGATAATGAGTAATTACAATAAATATAATAATTATTATAATATTGTTATACCCACACCGTGCCGACACCCGTGCCGTACCGTCTCTGAGCGAATCGAGTCGAGAAGACATGAAGAGTGCGTCACTGGGCAGCGGCTCAACTATTGAGCGAGCGAGACAGATTTGAATGGAGACGTCACTTCGTTCGGACGTGTTCCGTTCGCTCGGATATTTTACCCCAGTTCACAGTCGCTTCGCTTGTACGAGTTGTTCAATTTAAACCGTCTCGTTCTCTCCTTTTTAATCAATGTGTCTTTCATTTTCGCGATTCGGGAGTGCGCGTTCGTTCGGGCTAGCGATCCGGTCGCGCAAAGCGAATAACGCGCCGCAAACGTAACAATATATAATATATAATAATAATTATATAAATAAATATAATTACAGTTATATTACAATCATAATTATATATATTATATATATAATTATAATTATATACTTGTCTAAAGTTACACTGTATCAATGTGAAGGCTCATAGTATGACTCCGGAAGGTAAAATGTTGAAACCACCGGGCCACAGTTCGTTTTGTTCTGTCTTAATGGAGACAAATTTCATTTTTGTAACGCTTAGCAAATATATCAGTTATAGTCAACATCGCATCATTTTTTCATTCTAACAATACAGTCCATTACACAAACACATATGTTTTGTGTGTGTGTGGGGTCCTCTTTTTAATTCAAACAAATGTTTTTTTAATCGAAGAAATCGAGAATTATCAAATTTTAAGACCTATCAAAATTTTCGAAACTTATCAAGATCTATCAAGACTTTCAAGACCTATCAAGAATTTTAGGACTTACCAAGACTTTCAAGATCTATCAAGACTTTCAAGAGTATACAGTTTCGAACAATTATCAAAACAAAGCAATGATTAAATTGATTGAAAATTTGCAAAAGATATGATTGAATACCCATCACTATCTACGACTTGAAAAGTGAGCGCGAAATTAGGAGAGCGAAAGCGAAGCTGCCGGGTGATTGCCGGAGGGATCGAGGAGTAGGATTTATCAATGAGACAAGCGTTAAGTTGTTGTAAAGTTACCAATCCCCAACATTGCAAGATTGAGTGTACCACACGTGATAAATTCGAGTCAAAAAGCTATGGCCAGTGCATGGAGCTGCCGCGAGTAATAAAATATTTGGATGCCGCATACCGTTCACTCGAATTGCTCCAATTGTCGCATTGCATTTTTGCGTAATGCTCGCCGCCCTCTTGCCACAACCTTGTCGCCGTGTTTCGTTTTGTGTGTAATTGTGCGTTAGATTACCATCTTGTAGGATAAGTAGCAGTTTCGAGTCGTGACTTTCTTTCTCTCTGCTTCGACGGGACCACTCGGATCACCGGGTAATTCCGTATAAAGCATTGATGTTAGAGTAAAACGTTTAAATTCTATAAGTTCGTCAACATGTATTGAACGGTTCCTTTTTAAGTTTTGAGGTTGGTACTCATGATATAATTCGTTGTTGCGACCTTTCTTTTTTACACACAGTTTCTGTACGGTTACGCTGAATAAATATTCAGTTCTTTTTTGTAATTCCAACACTCTTTTTTGTGTATTACTCTCTGAAATCTTAACATAGTAGCGGTCCGTAGTTGAAGAAAAAGTTCGCCGTTTATACATGTATAAAAAAAGAGATGAAAGTTACATCGCTCGCCTGCGGAAATTCTAAGTCGATTGCCGATCCATATGTCGTCAAACATGGAATATCATGGAATCGAGAAATTACGTGGTATCGAAAACTGGAATGTGTGGAAGTTCACACTGGAATGTGTGAAGAATTTGTTACGCGCAACTGAAGATGCGTATGAAGTAAGTATCGGTGAAATCCAAAAGTCGACACCGTTGCCTGTCGGTGCAACGAATGAACAGCAAACTCAGTATCGAGAGAGTCTAAAAATTTGTCCTTGGGATAGAGCCGATCGTGCTGCGAGCCAGATTATTGTCAAGACGTTGGACACGAAGGTAATAGCACTTTTGGTATCGTGTGAGACAGCGAGGAATGTGGCTAAAATTACATGCAATTTATGAACATCAAACGAAGCAAGCATCGTACACCGCTCAATCAGAATTTTTCAATTTCAACATGAATCCATCTGATGATATGGTGACTCATACTTCAAAGTTCGAGGGACTTGTTTTACACATGCAGCAATTAAACGTAAAACCAGATGAGTCGTCATTGGTAGTTAAGCTATTAGATACTCTACCATTTTGAAGAACCTGAACAATTTTGGGTAGAAGTAGGTTCAATAAAAATAGAGGAAATGAAAAAAATGATTAGTTACATATAATTCTTGATAGTCTGGGGAATAATGTAAAAGCAAGGAAATCATGTTAAGAACAAGTCCATAAGAATTGCCTTAAAAAAATATTAAGAAGAGTGCCCTGATTTTTACCAAATCAGGCGCAAATCGATAAAGCCAGACTAGGGCATATCCTACCGCTTTCTGATTAGACAGAAGTAGGGAAACCCCGACTATGGCATACTCTACCGTTTTCTGATTAGACTCCTGATAGACTCAATTAGGTAATTCCCGAATAGGGTATACGTTACCACTTCCTGGTCATGACCTGATCGAACATCGGCATGCTCCATCAAATTTCTGCTCGGGTATATATATATTGCGACATTATATATTCATGTATATCTATTTCTCTAATACACTCGGTATATGATTCTTCTAACAGGTATTCTTACCCTCACTGAAGGTCACCAGAGGTTCGCATCCTCGTAATATTTCTACGTTCTAAAACCCATAAAAATAGTGTTACAATCGTTCTGACCACGACCCATATATGGATCCCCGTAATGGAGAAGATTGAGATCAACAGATGCAAATGATCCAGATAAAATCTCTCAAAATAAGCTAAATCGCATATCCTTTTTTACAATTTGCGTTTCCGTGGATCGCGGAAATTCGTCGAAGCTGTCCTCATGTCCGTCGATCACCATCGGATCATCTTCCACTTCGATCTCCTCCACTTTAATGTGATCCTCCATCGCATCGACGGTCGAGTGTTTTGGTAGGAAAGGAATCACCGATGGTTCTTTGATGTATTCGGTAGTGTGCACTCTAGTTTCAATATGGCATCGTTGCATTCGCGTCTCAACCCTGGTATAGAGGTTGCGGTTGCTTTCTTGGTTTTTCGGTTCGCCAGAGAGACCACGTATCTCCAAATCGGTGGCAGTTTTTATTAACGAGGGAAGGTGCTCCTCCGCTACATCAATGGATCCTCTGTACATGAAATCCAAAAGGCATTCCATTTCCTCAACAGCGACACCTAGACAGTAAAAATATAGTATGTTAGATAGGATACATTTTAATTTCCTTAAAATTGTTCCTCGAAAATAAGTTTTCGAAGAGGTGATAGACACTTCAAATTGGAAAGATTTCCAAATAAATATAACAAAACTCTCTTTTCCTCTTGCATGATTTTTAAAGTTTATTTTCGCGTAATGTATACCGTTACCCTCAGAAAAAGTAATAGGTAAGCCTCAAAAGAAGACTGCAGTTTCACAGAAGGCTGCAGTTTTTTTATTTAAAGAATAGAAGTTTGCCTCCTTAGGGCTTCAACACAAAGATCGTAACTGAGTCGTGAAACGTGCGTCGTAGTCGTAGGTAACAATGTTTTGGTCAACCTACAACTACGACTTACATTCCACGATTCAGTTACGGTCATCTTTGTGCTTAAGTCCTTATGTCCGCTGGACCGCAAGCTTTCATGAAATCCAACTTTCATGAAAAGATTTCACCGTTATGTAAAAACAGCTTGCAACACTTTCTCTATCTCTCCTTCTTTCTTTCAGATGAAATATCCAGAATTAAAAAAACTTGTGCAAACTCTTTCTTTAAATATCCATTTAAAACGTTATGAATGCTTCGTCGAAGCATCATCAATGTATACCTTTTAAAATGAGAATGGGTTGCTCTCCATAATGTTCCTTAAAGACCCTTTCGAAATAAGGGCTGCACGCTGCTAGCACCAACCTGTGGGCTCTCAACATGCCACCCTGGCAAGCCAAAGTCGCGTCCGTCAAGGATCCACTTTTGTAAAGAGCTTCGAACAAACCCGACAGATTCGCTAGGTGATTGTTCCACGTAAGGTTGAACGTCTTTTCGCTCATACTCTCTTTTATCGAGTATTACTTATTAATCTGAAATATATAAAGATTTCGTATTTTCTCAACATCACAGTAGGATAAACTAATTTGAACGCAAGAGTATTTTTTTTGCAAAACGCATATACAAATTAGAATAGTTCATTTTTACTCGTGAAGAAAAAATTTTTTTCGAACCAAAATGGTTTCAATCCGCAAAAAAATAACTCCTGTGAAAGGACCGCACACAAACCTTATGAAAATTGAATTTCGGTCGAATTGGCTGAAAATTTGATATGTTGTAGATCTTGTCGCCCTGATAAAAAGTCTTCACAGGCACGATCTTCTGTAACGAATGTTTGACCTCTATGAGACGTCATTCTTCAAAATGGGCTAATACTACCAAATCTTATTTTCAACGAGTATGGTGCATTCCTACGTCATTATTTGCACTTTCTATGTATATTTTTAAGTAAAAAAATGATAAAAATAATATTGACTTGATATTGCTTCTCACAAATCGGGGTGCTTGATTATTGTGAGTCCCCTCGCCTCTCACAAATCGGAGTGCTTGATTATTGTGAGTTTCTTCGCCTCTCACAAATCGGGATGCTTGATTATTATGAGTCCATTCGCCTCTCACAAATCGGGGTGCTTGATTATTGTGAATCCTAGCACAAAACGCGCGCGCGCGCGTGTGTGTGTGTGTGTGTGTGTGTGTGTGTGTGTGTGTGTGTGTGTGTGTTTATGTCTATAATGTGGTCAACATTATGTTACTTGCATCTACAATACTTTCTAATATTTGGGTAGATGGATTCCTTACATTTTCTTGATTTCGAGTCTATCTCAAATACCAAATAATAAACTGCTACTATGTGTGCACGTCCTCAACGTTCTCGCTCTGGATTTACAAGTACAGTAGTGCTCTAGAATTGGACCACCTTCGTTTTCGATTTCTTCATTACTCTGTATATATTCTTCATCAAATACAATCCACAATTGATGAGTAGAGTTTCGAAAGCGCAAAAATAATTTAATTCTTATGAACCCTGGCTCATTGGTGTTAAGATCTATTTTTAAAACTTGCTCATTTTCTTCATCAGGTTGAGCTCTCAGTATTGTATCTTGAATATATAATGGTGATAAATTCAATTGATATGCCCCGCAAGTTAGATCGCGCAAATACTCAATAGATAGTGGAGGGAACAATGGAACATGTTCTTCGCCCAATGGAACTCATCGACCTCGTTTAAAGCGAAGATTCTCCACTTCTACTCACGCTTGAACGACATTAATATCATAAAACTTTTGAAGCATTTTTCTAGCCGATTCAGCGTCAGCATTTGCCATGGTAATAGGATCATAATATTTATTGATTATACCTCCACCAATGAGAAGACTATCATTCAAATTCTTAATGTGAGAAGTACTAATAAGGTTGGCAAATATTTTAAATATTTAAAATGTCTAATGGCTTAGGACGCTCGTACGGAATACAAGAGATCCGGGTTCAACTCCCGGCCGAGATAATATTTTTCACAATAAGTTTAATTACAGTTTTTTCAGCATATTAACATCTTTATAATATGATGCCTGATTGAGCATCGAAATTATTAGAATTTAATTTAATTCGCGAAATTATTACAGTGGTTTAATTGTGTTTAGTCCGGAAATATTTCGGTATACAGTTCGTTAGACTACAATTGTGGTATATATAGTATGTCAAGTACATATATATCATATTTAGTGATTCAAAATTGAATTATTTAAAGCATTTTAAGATCTAGCTTCGACCGTATAAGGCTCTAATTTATCGGGTGTGTCTCTCACACACACACGGTCTAAAAATGATATTATTTTTTAAATATTTGTTTTAGGTGACCATTTCGTTATTCCACTATCCATCTGGTTTTAGTAGCTATGCGTGATTCATTTGCTTCCTCTGTTAAAAATTGACTTTGCCCACGGTCCAATAAAGATGGCATTTTATAAGATATTACTAATCTTTGAAGAGTTGGAATAGCATCCTTCGATCAAGGATAAAGATGTCTTGGGCTGCACTGCAGCCTCGATTCGATTTCTCAATTGTTCTCTTGAGTTGACTGACGACGAATAAACTTCCTATTTCAGGAAACACACAAAGAAGTCCAGTGGTGTCAAATCAGGTAATCGGGATGGCCAAGATACTACTCCTCCACGTCCAATCCATCGTCGTGGATAATGTCACAAGCTAAGCTCGAGTAGTTCTGCCATAATGAGCTGGACATCCATCGAGTTGAAACCACATTTAAATCCGTTGCTGCAGGTGGATGTCCTCTAAATAATCAAAGAAATCTCCAAAAACTTAGTATATCTGGCTGCATTTAATCTGTCCGGTAAAAAAAATGGTCCTACTAGAGAGTCGTTCCAAATTCCGAGCCAAACATTAACAGCAAATTCATGCTAGAACCTACTTTCCCTAACAGTCCTGGGATTTTCATAAGCCCATAAATGATAATTTCTTTGATTAATAATTCCTAACATGGGTGTTGTACCTTTGACCAAAAAAATTCAATTTTTTTCTAATGTTAAAAAAGATGTATAAAACTTAACAATTTAAATCTACAAAAAATATATGTTAGTGTCAAACTTCAAAGAATATTTTAGAATTTTTTTGAATTTTTAGACATCAAAATATAGCATGCACAAGAAAGAATAAAACAAATGATGGTAGGGAGACACTCATCCACGGTCTCACATAGAACATAATTTCAACATCTTCCAACTATTGTCAATACATTTACGATAATGATCTACGATTTTGCTGAAGATGTTTTGAAAGAAACCGAAACATCCAAATAAGTTGGTATCGACAGTCACTGTACAATTTTAATATATTATGTGAATATTATTAGACTATTGTATAAATTGCGCACCAATTACCGCGCTGTATTAATGCTCTCATTGTCCGTATATTTTATTATTGTTTTTCAAATAATAACTCTCGAGATTGTCAAACATAAAAACAAAGGAGGGTTAATGAGAATTAATTCGCGGTAATTCGTGCGAGAATAAAAATCGGTTTATTACCAATTTGAATAAATATAATTAATTAAACCTAGACATTTCGCCTTGCCTTTGAGCCATCATTAGTATGACAACATGTTTGTCTAATCTCTGTAACCTTCATGGCGAGACGGAGGGGCGACGAATCAATCTCATACCTATTCGATTGACACGAGATTGAGAAGTCAGGTGGCAACGAATGAACAATGAAAGTCTTTACAACATATCAAAACCGTTACCACAATTTATATAAGGAAAGAAAAATAAGGTACTCACCCGTATAGCCATGAAGGTTGTAACATTAAAATTTAAAAATTACAAATATCCGCTGAATATTCATATTGTGTGAACGAAATCGTGACAAACGAATCAATTCTTACTACGGTTAACAATCGAGTGATTTAACAATAATACATACGGTGTACCAAATGATAAATAAGTATACGGTATTACCAATCTATATCAATACAGTATTTAAAAGGATACACAGCCCAGACAGCACAGAATATATTTATGAAAATATTTATTAATACTTATTTTTTGGAAATGTTATATAGATATTTCATACATATTTTATATAAAGCTTTATTGGAAATATTATTAAAATATAGACCAAATATTTTATGTAATATGTACGATAAATATCAATAAATATTTCTAAAAAGTATTTTTTACTTTGATTATAATGTATCATTAAGTATTTTCACAGCATTTTACTATAACATACAATAAATATTTCATATTATTTATAATAAATGTTTATGATCTGTGCAATCTAAGACCACACAAATATATAAATAAATATATTTACAAAATATTTAAAATAAATCTTACAAATATTTATAAACATTTTGTAAATATTTTAGAAATATTATGTGCTGTCTGGGAGACATCAAGAACAGAAACAGCACGTAATTCAAATTAATATAGCCATCGAGATATATGCGTGATACAAGAAATCAGTATCGGATTGCAAGTTTAAACTATTTTTTGTAACTGAATATGTAGCATTTTGGAGATACGTCCTTTATACAAAAAACGTTCATTGTCTACGATTTCCGTGCCTTTCCAGTCAAAATCATGGTTTAGATCCAATCTGTGTTCAGTGATAACCGAATAGAGAGGGGGGAGAGGGGGGAAAGAGCGAGAGCGCGAGAGCGAGAGCGCGAGAGCGAGAGCGAGAGCGAGAGCGAGAGCGAGAGCGAGAGCGAGAGCGAGAGCGAGAGCGAGAGCGAGAGCGAGAGCGAGAGCGAGAGCGAGAGCGAGAGCGAGAGCGAGAGCGAGAGAGAGAGAGAGAGAGAGAGAGAGAGAGAGAGAGAGAGAGTTAGTATTTCTCCGGATATCATTACGGTGTTCTGAGATTCTCGTTCTTAAAATCCTTCCTGTCTGTCCGACATAGGAAGCATCGCAATCTTTGCAATTTATCTTATATACTATGTTCTTTTTAGCCTTGTTAGGTAAAAGATCTTTGTGTGCATCCGGAGAAACACTAGTAACCCCCCATTCGATTATAACTGATTGGATCTAAACCATGATTTTGATTAGGAAGGCACGGAAATCGTTGACAATGAACGTTTTTTGTATAAACGACGTATCTCCGAAATGCTACATATTCAATTACAAAAAAATAATTTAAACTTGCAATCCGATATTGATTTCTTGCATCACGCATATATCTCGATTCTCAATAACTTACATTAATTTGAATTACGCGCTGTTTCTGTTCTTGATCTCTGTGTATCCTTTTAAATAATGTATTGATATAGGTTGGTAATACCGTATACTTATTTATCATTTAGCACACCGTATGTATTATTGTTGACTCACTTGGACTCACTCGATTATTGACCGATGTAAGAATCGGATCGTTTGTCACGATTTCATTCGCATAATATGGACATTCAGTAGATCTTTCTAATTTTTAAATTTTAATGTTACAACTTTCATGACTATACGGGTGAGTGTCTTATTTTTCTTTCCTTATATAAATTATAGTAACGATTTTGATATATTGTACAGACTTTCATCGTTCATTCATTGTCACTTGACTTGTCAACCTTGTGTCAATCGAATAAGGATGAAATTGATTTGTCGCCCCTTCGTCTCGCCATGAAGGTCACAGAGATTAGACATACTGATGATGGCTCGAAGGCAAGCCGAAACGTCGATGCTTAATTAATTATATTCATTCGAATTGGTAATGAACCGATTTTTATTCTCGCACGAATTACCGCGAATTAATTCTCATTAGCTTCTTCTTTGTTTTTATATTATACAAGAAAAAATGTCAAAATTAGTCAAAGGTACACCACCTTCCCCTATATTTTTATAATGTCTTTGAGAAGTTAAATGCAGGGTTGGCAAACGTTACTTTTCAGTTACTTTGTCGTTTTTATAGTAAACAATTTGATGACGATGTTGCAATTTTTTATGACGGTAACGCTAACTAACTAAACGCTGTACTAAAGTTAGAAAAGTCACTTTGAAAAGTAACTTGTCACTATTATGCGTTACACCGAAAAAATTATAAGTATAACGCGTAACGTTACGCGTAACGTTACTCGTTACTAAAAAGTAACGTGTTACAAATTAGGAGTTATGTTTTTTTAGTAACGAATGACTTTTTCAATCCATTACAAGTAACGATTGACTTTTCTAACTCTGATGTTAGAATTACCATCATAAAAAATTCACGATGTCATTATCAAATCGTTATTATAACAAGGTAACGATCAACAAAGTAACAGCGTTACAAGTAACGCGTTACTTGCCAACCTTGGTTAAATGTTATAATATTTCTCTATTATGATCAATATTTAAAAAGTTATTTGCAATTTAAAAAATGCACTTAATCTCTTTTCCCGAATATTGATCATAATATTGTAAGAATTGACAGAAAGAAAAAAACTATGAACTGCAGAAATATTTTTTATTTCACACTCCTCTAGAAGAAATACAAAATGAATATAAAATACATTTTACTTTTTCTTGTACAAGATAAATTGAAATAATGTTCAATCATCATCTGATGAATTTTCGTAAGAATTTTTAACATAAATATGTTGTAATGAAAACACATTACTGTTGTACCATTTTCGTTCAGTCTCTGGTAAAAATCTCATTTATGATTTTAAATCATTTATGTCCTTTTTCCATAGATTATATCATTTTCACCACCACAGGACAATCGAAACACGTTCGTATTTAACTAATGTAAGCAACATCAAAACCTTGTTTATTTGCACTAATCTCCGGAAAAAGGGCCTAAGTAAAATTGTGCCTTTATTCCGCCAATCCCCTCAATTATGTAATGTAAATTGTGTTGACTACTGGATGTGAGTGTACAAGTCTGTTTTGGTGAGTGATTATCCGTATTCGTTTCCTTATAGATTTAAATTATCATCAACCGTTTTTGCTGAAATCTTAATTATTACAGCCTCGTTGGAGCTTTCTTTGATTTATCTGATTATTAAACCACGATGGAACAAATACGAATCTTTGCAGTAAGGCGGATGATTGGCACCAGGATTGCACAGATTACATGAGAGCGTAATATTGAATTTATATGATTCGTTGAAAATGACTTGAAGCAAATCGAAACGCATACGAAATTGATATATTAATATACAGGGTGTTTCCAAATTAAATCGCAAAACTTCGGGAGCGTGTAGAGGAGTAAAAAACTAAGAAAAAAAGTCCTATAGACATATGCTCGTTTTTGCTCCGTTTCAGAGAAATCGAAAAAAAATGTTTTTTTTACCTGCAAGATTAAATGGGGACCGTTTTCTAAATTTCTTGGAGAATGAATTTTCTGACTATTTAGAAAACATCCCATTACAACAACGTACTGAAATGTGGTTTCAATTAGATGGATGCCCTGCTCATTACAGCAGAGTCGCTAGAACCTGGTTAGATAGAAAATTCCCACAACGATGGATTGGACGTGGAGGAGCAGTACATTGGGCAACTCGTTCGCCCGACTTAACGCCATTAGATTTCTATGCATGGGGTACTCTGAAGCAAGAAGTTTATTCTTCGCCTATTCAATCAGAGCAACATTTGAGAAATCGTATCGTAGCTGCAGCGAACAGAATATCGCAAGAACAGTGCCTGGCTGCTACAAGAGCCGTGTTTGACAGATGCAATGCTTGTATTGCTGCAAGAGGTGCACATTTCGAACAAAATCTTCATTAAAAAGTTTATAAATAAAATAATTAAAATAATAAATTAAATATATTTTTTTCTTTTTTCGTGATTTCCTGCGAAACAAAGCAAAAAGGAGCATATGTCTATAGGACTTTTTTTCTTAGTTTTTTACTCCTCTACACGCTCCCGAAGTTTTGCCATTTAATTTGGAAACACCCTGTATATTGAATGTCTATTATTATACTTATACTTGCGCACCAATTACAGCGTTGACTCCTACTTCCCTATATATATATATATCTTGTTCTTTAATTTATTAAAGTTTATGTCTATCATAAAAAGGAATGAATATAATGTCTGCATATTAATGTATAAGATAAAGAATAGATTGTGTCTAAAATATTTGACGAATAAATTAGTGTAATCAGGGAATGAAAGGGAAACTAGACAGACGGAAGATTTAGTTCTTGCTAGATGTAAGTTTAAAGAGGAACAGAAAATGTTATTATATAAAGGATTTAAAATGATTTGCCTAATAATTTGCCGAGAAAGAATTAAAGGGTGAGTATAGGATATAAAATTTTAGAAGGTTATTAGCGAAATATATAAAAGTCGGAACCGTGGAGTAACATAATATTATATTGTAATATATTATACCATTGTCATAGTAAGTGTATTATTATATGCAAAGCATAGTTGAGTTCGTTAAGTAGCTACTGAGCTAATAAAGATGCATTCATTTACACATTCATTCATTCATTCTCTCTCTCTCTCTCTCATTAGCGAAAACAATCCTCTACGTGGTTTAAGCACATCTAACATCACGGAAGTGCGAGACGCGAAGCGTTCACAAAGAATCCGCAAACGCCGCAAACTGAGGAATTCAAAGAACGCGTAGAACTGCGGATCAAAATATTCCTAGCCGTATGCATATGACTACGATCGGGAAGGTTATTATTCTTTCACGTACGCACGCACGCACGCACGCACGCACGCACGCACACACGCACAGTATGTACACTCCTCGCACGCGCCCACGCATGCGGAATATCGCTCTTCGCGATGGGTCCGCGATGGTTGCATCATAAATGAATTAAATAATCCCATCGTGGGAGGAGAAGGGAGGAAAGCGGTGCGACTCGATCACGCGCTTTCATTCAGTGCACAATTATTCCAATTCCGTACACAGTGATATTCACTGATGTGTCACCGCGTGTCCCATAATTGACTACGCGTCGCAAATTCCACTTCGAACGAATATCACGATAGTTTAGCCCTGCGATTGGCGTATTTTCGCGGGCTTACCTTACGGCGGAATATTCTCACTATTGCCTTGGTCCGAACTAAAATTGATTCAAATTCGTTTCTTAATTTTTAGATGTTTTTTATCGAGTCACTTTACTTATATTGCATCATGAATTAGAAATATAGACTGATGTCGCTGTGTGAGGCGTTGAGCATCATTGTTGATAAACTCTCGCAAGGATATATTACGCGTGCGAAGAACAGGGGATCTCAAAGAAGAGGTTCTCCATTAGGAAAGGGCGCGCGTTCGGCATGTGCATGTACGTGTGTATGACTAGGGTAACAACGCGTGATCATGCGCAGATGTGAACCCTCACGTAGCCTCGATCTATAATTTTGTTGGTGGACCCTCCCACGCATTTCCAAAGGACCCCCATTCCTTGTGCAGGAATGAGCCAAACGCACCCTTTTTCCACTATCTTTTCTCTCGTGGGCAATGCGACCGAAAAAAGTTCGCGAATGCGTGAAATTGATCAGCGTGACTTTCAGGTGAAAAATCTAATTGTAAGCGTTTTTCTAATTTCTAATTGTAGAAACGTTCAGTGATATAAAATTAAGAACAATTGATATATTGAATGATTCAATATTGTTACCTAAGTTTAAGTCTCAAGCCATAATTAAAAATTGACCAATCACAAAAAAAAGCAATGGTCAATTTCTTACGGCTTAAGATTTAAAGCTTAGGTAATTGCTTATTGTATTCTCTAAAAAACATTCTATAACAAAACACAAAAAAATTACATTCAGATAGAACGCAGAGGTCATAATAATATTATCGTGATCTTATTCGTCACACTTATAAGTTCACTTATAAGTGACAAATGAAGTTACGATGACATTCTATAATATCATGACTCTGTGTTCTACCTGAGTGTATATAAGTTCTACCGACTAATTGTGTGGCGATTCTCACAGCAAATTCGTGTCGAGAAACGTCGCTCCGCTGCGACGGCGACAATGCCATGAAGAGGCCTTGAATACCATAAGCCGTTCTTCCGTCAAGCTCACATACTAATATAACGCGCAATAACGGTAGCCAATCTGACAACGATTAGAAGAACTGTTGCGATTGTGACAAATGAATAAGCGAAAACTACGAGAGAAATGCATTGGACTCTCATACATCTGGATGTAAAGCACGCTAGTAGTGTATCACTCACGTGCGACTTATGTATACGCACAGATACGTATGCTGAGGAGGAGGAGGAGGAGGATGAGGAGATGAACCACCGCGAAAAAACCGGCGACGAGGCTCGCACGTGATCGCTGTACCCCAGGAATGCGCGAGTCTCGCGCGTCCAAGCGCGAAATCATCGGCGCGAAAGACGGAGTCGCATTCGTCGCGCCGCACCACGCCGCGCCCGCGCCGGTGCCTTCTCTCTCCGAGCTCTATTAATATCTGCGCCTCGACGTCGACGTCGCGCCTCCGGAACGCGCTCCGGCGACAGAGGAGGGAGAAGGAAATAGGCGAAGAGCGGCTTACCACTCTCCCCGCTCGTAGCAATTTCCTCTTGATCGCGCAAGAAACAATGTTGTACGACAGCCACCCTGGGTATCTGTGATCTCCAAAGTAATCTCCGATTTTGCTCAGGGCAGATGATCGCGGGGACTTTCCTCTCTTTTCTGATATAGGCCTCGTGTATTAGAGCTGCGGTGGTGTTACGAGTTTTCGGGCGGCGACGGATGCAACGAATGTACACTTGCTGGAAGGGCGATATTTGGAATATATCACGGGAGAATGAGACTTATGAAACTATGCTCTGCGAGGGGCACGGCGCGACCGACGGTGTAACACGACGTACTAGGGCTCTCTCGACCGAGTCGCGACTGATATCATTTCCAGCGGGGGACTGTAGGGTCGGCAGCCAGAACCCCACCAGGGGGTCTTCGTACAACCCCCACGCGGCATCATAGTAGTAGTCGTGTATGTCGTCGTCATCGTCGTCGTCGTCGTCGACG